GGACTCCCCAGCGTCATGCGCTCACGTTGTGGCCATGGTCCCCAGAATTGAATGGCGCACTATGCTTACCGTTGAATGTAAACTGACAGCAAACGCGGGAACAGTGCTGATTGAAATGTCTAACGACTCGATTAAACAAGCCTACATGCTTCACAGCTTTGGATTAAGNTTGAGCAAAGACAGCTAGATCCTTCTCATTTGAGGTATGTGGCAGCTGTTGATTTTCCGAAGAAATACTGGCGTCTACTTCTAGGGTGTAGGGATATGACTTTGCATTTAGAAACATTGAACTCAATGTGGTTGTCCATAGACCACTGGTAAGTTGCGTTAAACGTTTCTTGAAGTAATAGCGAGTCCTCGGATTCTGTTACTATATTCCAGATTTCGACTTCATCTGCAAACATCACTGATTTGGGCTCGAACACATTCGGTAGATCATTTGTGAATGCGAGAAAAAAGCCGGGGACCAAGTAGAGACCCTTGTGAAACACCGCGGGTAACGTTAATAGATCCGGATAGGGAATAGAAAACACTAACTGATGTGGTCCGTCGTCAGAGGAGGAATGCTCTAATCCAATGCAGCACAAAACCTCGAATACCGTAATTATGGAGCTCCTGTAGCAAAATTTGTGGGTTTGCCCGATCAAATGCTTTCGAAAAGTCCAGACAAATCACATTCACCGCATCCCTTTCGTCGACTGTTCTGAGCCACTTGTCTCGAACAAGAAGCAACTTTGTGGAAAAGGATAGTTTATCCCTGAACCCATAGTGAGCTGTCGAAAGAATGTTGTCTCTTTCTAAGTGTTCCATCAGGGAATCTGCCACAATCGACTCTATGACTTTCGATAATGCTAGAAGGAAGGTTACAGGTCAGTAGTTATCAAGGTCACTACGACAAACTCCTTTGTGTATGAATGAAATACCTCCGTGTTCCCGCGATTGCGGGAGTGCTATTTGGTCGAACACCCGTGGAATACAATGGCTAGTTGTTAAAATAGATGATCTGCCAAAAAGATAAATGGGTTGCATTTTTGCAAAGCCATCAAATTTGCTCGGACGCTTTCCGCAATAAATGTTGCTTTTCTCAGCGGGAGGGTATGAAAAATGATGCAATAGCTAATGGAGCTGTAGATCTTCAATATGTGGTGCAGCATAACTTTGGAACACTGACTTTTCAGGACTTCAGCCGCTTGGAGTGGCTGCAACTCTCCAGCGCAACTCAGTGCCAGTTTGCCAAATTTCAGATTTCGAATTGCATTAACATGCTTGTACCACAGCTTGGGATTAGAGATGAATCTCTGTGCTTGAGCCTCTTGGTAAATCAGCTTATCCTCACGAATCAGCTTGTTGTAGTGATTTCTCAGCATGAGATAATTATTCCAAATAATGACAACCGGAGGACGTTTATAATCTCACCAGGGATATCGATTTCCTCGAGCGACTTCAAATAGTTGACTTTCGGATACTAGATTTGGTGATTATTCTAGTCCTAATCACTAATTTTAGTAGATAGATTTCTGCCAGGAGACCAACCGATTGGACCCTTTATCATAGGAAAACCACCGAGTAGAGAGCACCGATTTTTGCAACTTTGAAAATAATCTATAGATTTGTGTATGTTATTTGAAGAAATTCCTTGAATAGAATTGTAACAATTATATTTGAATGCAACTACTGCATGATCGCTGCGTCCTAGGTAAGGGGACGCATGGTCAACACTAAATCCAGTATTGATGGCGACTACCGGTTTCCAAACCTAGTGGTCTCCTTCACATGGTCCCACAATAAACGCCAGTCAACACATCTGATGACATTCCCACGAAATATCTTTATTCCACATGTCTTGTAATCATGATGCCTCTTCGTACATTCAAATTTCACCAGAGAAGCCAAAATCACAGGTTTAGACAATATATCCTGCATTATTTCGTATCAAATGAACCTGGGAGTGCTGCAGTTTAAGTGTTCAAAGATTGCGGAATCTTAGGCCAAGAAAGACTGTGATCAACATTAATCATTAAAGATGTTTGTTACCAAGGTAAAACATAAATGATGTACCCTTCGCGCTGTTTACACCGTTGGGGGCAGTTATATTGAACGTCAGTGAATTGGCGTATTTTAGAATCCTGATGTTATTGATCTTTTGTGTGTACAGATGATGTAAAATGATCCTGGATGAATTGTGCAAAGCATCATTTTTCTCTTCTCTAGTCGTATTCGTTACGGGAAACTTCATTCAATACATTGAAGTACCGATCAGATTTAGCTCCCTCTCCATGCAGTCCAATTAAGTCGTAAACGAGTATAATAAATACGGGGTATTCAAACGGAATGGTACACTTTGTTGAGTTTTATTTGCTCCGAAATTTGGCCACCTCTCCAATTCGAAAAATGCCATCAGTTGTCCACCGGTTTTTGACGCTCGATAGTCGATTGCGGAACACCGAAGTCCACTTCAAATACTTCACTATGAAATGAGATTTCTCTACTGTACCTACTGATAACGTTTGTAAGCTAAGTCGTTCCTCGGAAATCAGCTAACATTGGACAGAGTTTTCTGAACAAAAACAGAATACAGGAGTTCCGCGTGGCTAAAAATTTGCAAAATGCTTCGTTACAATTGAGAATCCCTCATGTAAGATGACCGATGTCTCCTAGTAAGAATTATGATGCAGAGCAACCATTTAAGTTACGCAACTCGTGATAATCGCTCTACCATTAAAATGGTTACCACGACTCGGATGGGCTGTAGCGCAGAATTCATTCGAGTTTAGAGCCGATGACATTAAACCAATTATTCAAAATAATAGATTTAAGTTACCCAAAAAAAAGTATGCAGTACCAAAACACCAGTGTATTGAGAAATGGCCAATGAGAAGTGAAGCATCTTCTGATGACGAAAGTTTAGTGCTTACATCTCTGGTTCACCGTTTCTTCTGAGTAGTGGCGCGGGATAGGTGTTAACGTTTTTCACTTACTGGCCTGCTAGCTGAGCCTCAGATGCCGTCCGCTATTCACACATTAGATCGTAAACCCGCAAAGTGGCAGGTTCAAGTTTTGCAGATTTATTCAGGCATGTGCCACGAAAACCAGTACGAGAAACCTGGTTAGGTGTGAGAGGCTTTCTGTAAAAGTTAACAAAGAGTATTTCCATTCAGGTTAATTCAAATGAAAAAGGCCCTTTAGTTGTCCATATTGGAGCACATTTCTGTGTTGTTGGACCAATTAACCGGGTTGACTGTTGCCGAGGCCTCCAGGGTTGATTCAATGGTTGGGGTCAGCCCTGGTGTGAACTAGTTAGGACAGCAGTAATGCACCCACATTCGGTGTGAGGTGTGGCAGATGTGCACCATCGATAAGCCCTCACGGGAATGAAACCTGGGGTCAGTCCTTAGTATGTGTATGGTTTGACCAGATAAAATGAGGGTATTGCATGCAGATTCAATGTGACGGACATACCATCAATCGCTCCCAAGTGATCTTCGAAATGACACCACGCTGGTGTGTATGATTAAGTCCTGCGTCCGCTTAGGACACAGGACAATTTTGATACAAGTACAAAATGTACTGCATTTTCGAAGAACTGATCCACTCAAATGCGTCGTTATTCGGTTGTATAGATTGGTCCCTTTTGCGGCGGTTTCATGTTTCTTGAAGACCAGCCGCAATTTGGAGGCAAGTAAACCGATTTTCATCATCATCATCGCAAAGCGAAATACAATGAAGCGAACTTCNAAATACAATGAAGCGAACTTCACCGATTGCTGCCAAACTCGCAATGCATGGAGGAGTAGTGGTAAAATTTAAGGTGGATGGGGATTGAACCTACTTTGAGGGAGGGAGGAGGTAAACCACTGTGTTCAACACACAGGGTATATAATCTAACTGTGCACAAGCAAGCATTCTTATCTGATAAGAAATGACAACAAGAAGGCCATTGCTGTCGGTTCGCTGCCATATGCTTCAATGTCTCCAAAGAACCAGTTACATAGTCTTTCGGACCCCAACCTGGAAGATCAGAGACACCTACTCCACCTAATAGCTTTGTACATCACTTCTTTCGTAGTCCCCACTTAATCTGTTGGCCTCCACGGGGTTTTCCCCTGTCAGGAGCGACTATAGCGAATAAAACGCAGAGCAGCTGCCCCCGACAGCTGGGTATACACAATAGGCATCCTGAGCAGCAAAGCCTACCAATCTGGATTAGCAAGTTTATCCTTGCTAAACTCCCAAATACACGATGGCTTACCTCCAGGTTACTAACCCATTCGTTGCATCCCACGTGTTCAAACTACGTAAACACCGGTAATCGAAAACTTCTAGTCGATGGATATCTACTACTCACAAATTCAAGGTCCCAAAAGCATAAAGCAGAACTTTACGAATGGAAGCACAATATACAATATACCATTTCGTCCAATCTGTGAAGTCCATAAAACCCCTTGTGGTTTGGTGATTCAGCACGGATAGTGAACTGAAGCAGGCTTTCAGTCTATTCACCTGCTTGAAAACAAGTTGAAAATGCACTCATACTATCTACGTCCGATCCAAAATACACATGATACTTTGACCATATTAACAGGCAAGACAAATGAGAAGCAACCAATCGGAGAATGTTTCTTTCCGGTTTCAGATTTAATGAAACGCATATTGATGTAGACATTTCAAACTTTTCGATTATCCACTGTACTGAGAATGTCAGCTTGTTTTTTGATTAAATGTTCACCGTCTAATATTTGCTGGGCTTGGTGAGCAACGGAATAATACCCACATTTGAACGCGTAGGCTGCTATATAGAAACACAACAGAAAGATGGGTTAAAATTGAATCTACTTGATGGGAACCAGGTGTTGAAACTCATGTGATGCTTATGTTTTTATGAATAACACAAAACCGTTAAGTGTTATTAATTAATTATTATCGAACCTACCACTGTTGAATTTCAGCCAATCTACTGGCCTACCATACAATCGGCCCGTCATGGATTTCTGGTTATTGATCCGATCGCCACCTACACCATGAACTCATATGTGCTACGCGAGCTACGTATCACGGACACCCGAGATGGTACCACTAGAACTGTACGACAATTCGACGCCACTCCGACAACCGACGCGATGATCGAGTTTGAACCGGCTCACGGCGGATTCGGTTCGACGCGACTGGAACGACTAAATGAACCCGGTGTCAAACTGCTCGATTTGAATGACTGCGATCCCCTGGCTGCTTCCAGTTCTCCTTCACAAACAGACTCTTTGCTTGATGCCTCATTAACCAATGGGAACTCGAATATGAATCGTTTGCGTCCCATAAATGCGAATTTCAAACAGCGCTATCAATCACTGTGTGAGGCGATGTTGGAGACAGTGATACAAGTGCACAAAACCAAGGAACATTTTGGTATGGACGGTCCCATCACTGTACACTGCAAGTAAGTTGGTCGTTCATCCAACCCGTTCACTCGTTTCCGGTACACCGTAACCCCTCCCCCGATTTATGATTACGGTTGTGATCCTCCTGGACGAACGAACAGGGAAAGTACCTGCAATAAATGATGACTCTTATTCTGACATTTGAATCCCTTTGTTGCTTGGTCGAGTCAGTAATGTAGTGGTGTGAATAGATCCGCACTTGATATTCACACTGAGCATTGGTGATTTGTAAACTGGACTAATAGCCTCGGTGCTACCGACTAGTGATGCAAAACACACTGGAGTTTCAGAAACCACTTATTACTGGCTATCGTTTGTCTGTCGTGGGATAATTAGCACATGATTTTTTAATTTTTTACTTCCTCCTATTCACTATACAAAGATACAATTTTCAGGAATGAAGAAGCTGCCAATCAAAGAACTGTGATTCAACACACGATGGGGGGAAAGTCAGGCGGTGGTGGTGGGATTCAAACACATCCCCAGGGTGATAATTTGGTGACGTTAACACCGCGCACCATCATTTTGATTTAAATCTCACTCTATTTAGGTGAAACACACATTCAAACGATCCTAGTGAAATCTAAATAAGAATGGATGCAATGGGGACAGGCAGAAAAACATAAACTAGGTTTTTCTAAACCCGCCAATTTCTCTACATGTATACATTTGTGTATAGCATATGATATGAATTGTTCCCTCCTTTTCTTTGTCCCTTTTAATTGATCGTCCTCGCACCCGTGCAGTTTGGGCGCAGGTCGCACGGGTGTATTTCTGGCCATTTCTCTCGTACTTCAACGTATGCGATATGAGGGCGTGGTCGATATGTTTCAAACGGTCAAACTGCTACGATGGCAACGTCCCGGATTGGTCAGTACTGCAGCGGAATATGCATTTTGCTATGCAACTGCTCTGGAATATTTAGACGCTTTTGAACGCTATACTAATTAAACAATAATTTGGATGAGATCGTACCATCTTGTTGAAGCACCAACTCGCGCCTGTAACCAACCCCTTCCCGTCCTTATTCCCTGTCCAATATCATCACAATGCCTACAGTTCGCCGAAAAAAGAACACCTCACCTCACCGAATCCGCATATCCTCATTCATATTAATGAAGGGACAAATGCGAGTTCACCATTGTACAGCAACCTACCACTACCATCACCACAGGAGTTTGGTACCACCGGGGTACTACCTACCTATGTTTGTCATTTATTTTGTTGAATTTTCCTGCATTTCATCTAATCCTGTGCAGTTTTGATGAAAGCACATTCGGTTCTTAGGTATAAGACAATCACACAGCTACTCTGAGACACACACAGTCAGCATGAAACCTCCAAACTCCTTCCACCCACCCAGCCAGCTCCCCCCCACACACACACACTTACTCAATCTCAATCGTTTGTTTTCATACCAAAGGCACACCTCTTTCTTCGGGCTTCCGAAACCAGAAAAAATACAGATTGAAACCAAATGATGAAAACCGTTCATCGGAGAAAGTAAAACAATATATGATTTCACACTCTTCAGCGTCTTCCAACATTATTTGAATCTACGGTGCGTTTTCCGGAGAACCCCAATTCGGCCACTCCCTAATCCCTCTACATTTTCACTCACACACACACACATGCACAGAAGCCATCACAACTTCTTCCCTCCAAGTTTTCTCTTCCGAACTGCACAACCACACATCACGACACAGACATATGTAACAATGAACAAACAATTTTCAAGCTTCTTTGTAAAACGTGACATCGTGCATATCCCCCCGTCCGACTCTTTCCAACCTTTGTTCTCAGTTTTCTCATCTGAAACTCAGTCACGATTTTGTTCATTCATGGTCAGGGTGTTGATCACGACTGTATATACGTATAAATAAAGAATCATTACTTCTGCGTTCTGTGCTGATTGTATCAGGGCTAAGTTTCTTTTGATCGGTGTTAGTGATCTAACAAGTGTGGGTGTGTAGTGAACCCCAGACTATTATTTTCCTGCTGCATCACAATAGGCAACCATAAAAAGCACTATCAGAACCCCCTCCCAATACTTCCTCATTCCACTCAGGAATGTTTTAGCTTGGTTCTGTTTTCATTCGGTCATCTCAGCCTATGTCACAAAACAAATTTCAGGAATTTTCACAGAGGATGGTCAATGCGATGCAAACTATAGAATTGACAGAACTATTCTTCCGAAGTACAAATCTTGTGATACTTTTCCTGATAAAAGAAAGGTTTTGGAAATGAAAAAACGAAGAACAGGGCAGGACCAAGAGATGCTTTACTTTCTTCGTTTGGCTTTCCGGGGAGAGGGTGGTCGGTCGGTTGGTTGGAAGCAGAATGGATGCGTGAGTAAAGCGCAGACGGTCCACGTTTCTATATGGCATACTTTCAGAGATTGATTGACCACTCACGTCTGGTGTCGGTGACAGGTAAGGTAGTACAGTAGTATGGTAAAATGATACAAAGCCAAGATAACCTCGGTACAAAAAAGATTGAAATGGTCATACGATGATGATGATGTGAAACTAGTAGAATTTTGAAATGTAAAGAACGATTAGCTTCAATGCATAGTTGTGATCTTGGACGCATGTGAAGCAACTTTGAAAATTGAGATAGATGCACGCGGAAGGCGAACTAGTGCAGATTTTATGTTGGTCGGAAAAAGAGGCACGGATTTGCGAAGCTCACATACATAATAGAAAAACTGCGATTGAATGAAATTTCTCAAGATGTACATAAGCGATTTTTCAACTCTGGGCCCCTCACCAGGCACACGTAGACGTTAATTTTCTGCTAGCTGCCTTGTAAACCAGTGATTCTGATTTTCGACCAAAATGCACATGTTTCACATGAATCTCTAGAAGTTACTTGCAGCCGAACCGGTGGTATTCTTTGGAAACCACGTGACGCACCTCTGAGGCAGTGATACGGGCCAAGGCTTTCTCACTGACAATACCAATCATATTGGGATCTAAACTGTGGGGAACCTGAAGTGCAGAGAGCTTATGCATACTGATGATGAACGAGGTCTGACAAGAGAAGTTGGAGCTTAAAATTTTGGAAATGGAAACAAAGTGAACGCACTTCAAGCTTCGAACAAACAAGACCATATTCAAATGAACAGATTCGGTTCGCAGGAACTTCTTGTTAATATATCTGGGCCAAAGATTGCTAGAAGTGTATTGAAAAATCGACGCGCCGTGTGTTGTTTTACTTTGAATGTTATACTGTTAATAACACAGCGATATCGGGGGAGAATTATATTCGCCAACGTTTCCCTTACCGTAGGTAACTTTTCTCAAGGTAGGTTTCACAATCAAATGTTCTATACTTTGATTTCGACAGAAATCTCCTTAAACAGGTGATCGGTTTGTGGGCGACTTGAATTCCATTTGATCTGAGCAGTATTGCTGTCATTTCCGAAACGTCCGTTATGTACGGCAAGGCTTTTCTTGTTCCCGATTCTCTGTCTGTCTTTTCTTTATTTCTTTGAATCTGAGTTCTTTTGATGAAGTTGCGGGGATAACCGTTGCGAGAAAATGCTCTGAAGGATCTCTTTCTTGTTTCTTGAGTATAACGATGCGACAGTGCGTTTGGAAAGTGTGTGTGGTTCGTACGCCTCCTCTTGGTTGACGCTGGTTTTCAAAGACAGTAGACGGGGGCAGGTGTTTCTGAAGCAAAACAAAACACTCGGCTTTCGGTTCTACAAGTAAATATACAGAGACGATAGACCAGCCGAAGACCCGACCAATTTCATTGCTACCGGCAGCTGTACGAAAATATGGACAATAGAATGAGATAGAGAGGAAACAGTTAAAGATAGAAAATGGTTCTCTCGCCCACGTTTTAGGGATACTTGGTGAAATCCTGCTATATTGGTATAATTATTGCATGACAAATCACAACTATTTGAGTTGAGAATGCGTTTCAATCACATCACACACTACAAACAAACCAAGAAATAAAACAAGGATTTTCTGATGGACGAAGTTCAATAAGTTTGTCCAGGTCAGTGCAGGTCAGTATTTTTGAGGGTTCACAACAGTAGCCCTCGGATAGACAAAGAATGAGTCACTTGTAACTACCACAACCAGCAAGGTGTGTGTGCGCGTTTGGTTGGTGTGGAATCAGTGCTTTTAGTCAACTGCCCTAAATGAACCGCCACGGGTTCACTAACCCGATTTTAGCCCCGGGTGTTGGCGTTCCACCCTCTGATTTCGGTGGACAAACACCTCCGCCCCACAGGAAGGTAATGAGCAAGGTTTTCTCAATGGGGGCCACTTCTGGCGCTCAGTCGTATGGGAGTATTGCGGTCACCAAACCAGACAATCATCCCTTACCTCACTGAAACTTTCAAAGGAGCTAGATAAGCTCTTCTAGTTGCAACTTGGAGATAAAACTGGCTGTTTGATTGTAGGAAAGAAGCAATATAATGAAAGGAAGTGTGAAAAGAGGGGTGTGAAATGAGCTGAATGCGGTACGAACTTGACAAGCATTCGATGTCGTCTGCAACGTCAACTCAGAAATAGCCTTAAGAAAGATCGTGAAAATTGGTGCGCAGAAATAGCTAGTGAAATGGAGGTAGCTTCTGCATCAGGGAATAGTCAAAGACTATTTCACCTGATACGCAGCACCGGAGGTCGTCGCATACCGGTCAGTGAGACCATTTGTGATAAAAGTGAACAAAGCATCCACAATAAAGAACAACGACTTGATCGCTGGGCAGAATATTTTAGTGAACAGTTCAATTGGCCTAGTACTAATGTGGTCATTCCAGCAATTGAGGCGGAAACTCCTTGGGTGGTAACTTCCGAGCCTCCACCTGAATCCGAAGTACGAAGATGCATTCAATCATTAAAGAAAGGAAAGGCTGCGGGACCTGATGGGCTTCTCCCTATTCTTTTCAAGGTGGGCGGAGATTCTCTTGTCGACCCGATTACTAGCTTACTTCGCAGCATTTGGACGGAGGAGCGCATCACTTTGTCCTGGGGTGAATCGACGATCGTCCCTATTTTCAAGAAGGGATCACGCGANNATTAGTTTAGTTCCGATAATCACAAGATTGTTGACTTCTGTGATACTTCGCCGCCTGACACCCTTAAGGGAGAGGAATATCCGCGAACAACAAGCCGGATTCCGACCAGGTCGCGGGTGCATCGGCCAAATCTTTATTCTGCGTCAAGTCCTCGAACTGCGTCACACACATCGTCGGCGAACAATCGCAGTGTTCTTTGACCTTAAAGGAGCCTTCGATTCAGTTGACCGTGAAGCTCTTCTGGGGTCGCTGCTCCGCAAAGGAATGCCGCGGAAGTATGTAAACCTATTGCGCTCGCTTG